CTTTGCATTTTAACTGCAACAAGCTATATCCATTACAATGGATGCATTACAAAGATGAACATTCACAGTACAGAATAATTTAGAGATGTTCAGCTGAGGACTAATTCAAATTTGAACTTCGGTTTGTTCAATTTGAAAGATATTTTATTTTGTGATTTTCATCCAAATAAATTGTTTTAACTGGCTCTGAATGTTATGGTCAAATTTCCTATTGCATATTCAGCCTTTAGTAGTTAATATTCAATACGAATTTTAGCAGAACTGAAAGAGGCCAATTTGGCCTTTTGTATGCAATTCTGTGAATTTTGTCACTGTAAGCTGACATGCTTGACAGACGTACTGTATAGGGAAAAATGTAGACCAACTACATGTGATTATACAGTTTCTCACACTGGACACAATGAATGTGCCAACGATTAAGGCATTTTATGATTTCATAAAAGAAAGTAATGATTTTATTAAAGGCCCTTTTGGGAAATAATTATGCATTAATTTTTTTCTTTACTTCCCTCAGCAGTAAAGAAATCTAACAAAATTAATATAAAAGAAAAGAAAAAAAAGTGACATTGCATCCCTCCTAGCAAATTGTCTCTCATTTTATATATAAAGGACTATGGGAAGAAGGCAGGCCGGCAGAGGCAGTGTTATGCTCTGGGCAATGTTGTACTGGGAAATCTGGGTCCTGACATTCATGTTGATGTAACTTTGACATGTACCACCTACATAGAGATAGTTGTAGATCACATACATCCCTTCATACCAATGGTATTCCCTGATGGCAGTGTCCTCTTTAAGCAGGATAATGCATCCTGCCACATTGCAAACATTGTTCATGATTGAAGAACATGACAAAGAGTTGAAGTTATTGTCTTGGCCTCCAAATTCCCCAGATCGCAATCCAATTGAGCATCTGTGGGATGTGCTGGAACAACAAATCCGATCCATGGAGGCCCCACCACGCAACTTGCAGGTTCTGCTGCTAATGTCTTGGTGCACGAAACCACAGGACACATTCAGAGGTCTGGTGGAGTCCATGCCTCGACATATCAATGTTATTTTGGCAGCACGTGGGGGACCTACACGATATTTGTCAGGAGGTTTTACACCCTGTTCCAAATTATTATGCAAATTCTATTTAAGTGTCACAAAGATTAAATATTTTGTTTTTCAGTTTAACTCATGGATGGCATTGTGTCTCAGGGCTCTTTTGATCACTGAAAACAATCTTGGACACCTGTGATAATTAGATTGCCAGGTGAGCCTAATTTAAGGAAAAACTACCAAAGGAGGGTGTTCCACATTATTAAGCAGAGCACCATTTTCATGCAATATGGGGAAGAAAAAGCATCTCTCTGCTGCCAAAAAGAGTGAAATAGTTCAATGCCTTGGACGAGGTATGAAAACATTAGATATTTCACGAAAACTTAAGCGTGATCATCGCACTATTAAGAGATTTGTGACTGATAGAGAGCACAGATGGGTTTGTGCAGATAAAGGCACATTGAGGAAGATTTCTGCCAGATCCATGCATCGGATCAAGAGAGAAGCTGCTAAAATACCATTACATAGCAGCAAACAGATATTTGAAGCTGCTGGTGCCTCTGGAGTCCCACGGTCCTCCAGAGTCTTGCAACTGTGCATAAACCTTCTATACGGCCACCACTAACAAATGCTCACAAGCAGAAACAGCTGCATTGGGCAGAAAAATCAATGAAGACTAATTTTCAAACAGTCCTGTTCACTGATGAGTGCCGTGCAACCCTGGATGGTCCAGATGGATGGAGTAGTGGATGGTTGGTGGACGGCCACCCTGTTCCAACAAGGCTGCGACGTCAGCAAGGCGGTGGTGGAGTCATGTTTTGGGCCGGAATCATGGGAAGAGAGCTGGTCGGCCCCTTTAGGGCCCCACGAAGGTGTAAAGATGACCTCTGTAAAGTATGTGGAGTTTCTGACTTACCACTTTCTTCCCTGGTACAGAAGGAAGAACTATGCATGACAATGCACCATCTCATGCTGCAAAGAATACCTCTGCATCAATGGCTGCTATGGGGATAAAAGAAGAGAAAGACATGATGTGGCCTCCATCCTCCCCTGACTTCAATCCTATTGAGAACCTTTGGAGCATCCTCAAGCAAAAGATCTATGAGGGTGGGAGGCAGTTGACATCCAAACAGCAGTTCTGGGAGGCTATTCTGACGTCTTGCAAACAAAATCAAGCAGAAACTGTCCAAAAACTCACAAGTTCAATGAATGCAAGACTTGTGAAGCTGCTATCAAATAAAGGGTCCTATGTTAAAATGTAACGTGACCTGTTAAAATGTTTAAAAAGTTAAAATGTTGTTATAAGTTTGATTGAAATAGCTTTTGATTTTAGTAAATATGCTGCAAACACAACAAATGACAATTTTCAGTTCTTTACAACCTATAAAGTGTTTTGAAACTTACTGTGCGTAATAATTTGGAACAGTGCATTGTAAGTTTTTATGTTTAAAAAATACTGTTATCATTAGGAGGTTTGTTCAATAAAATTTGATTTGTACTCTTAATAGTTGATAACATGAGAATTATGCTGACTGTTATTTACAACAATTATTTAGGTAAACAAGAAAAATATAATTTGCATAATAATTTGGAACAGGGTGTAATGTTGTGGCTGTTCAGTGTATATGTAAAAGGGAGGGGTAATATTCACCTTTGTGTTTTAAATTAACTGATGAATTTCTGTCATGAAATCATAAAATCCAGGAAATTTGTTACAAGACACAGAGGCTATTATAATGTAAGTTAAAAGCTGTACAGTAACAATAAACAATAATGGTTTTATAGGCTTAAATATTTTTTTAAATGTTGGATTCTTGAAAGTAGTCTGTGGATTTCATAAGGTCTTCCAACTGACAACCTTAAGACAAAGCCTTAGAGGACTTGGCTCATCTAGAACAGAACAGTGTACCCCAAATTGGGAGATATTTTCACCACATGCATGTAACCCATCTAACAAGTAATGTGGTTGATAAAGGCTCAAATAGATTAGAAAACAAATTACTGGAGAATCTGTTCTGTTTTTGGATTTATTTTAATTTTTCAGTAGCCATAAAACTAGACATATAATAGGGCGGAATATAGGTATTTCATAACATTGTGATTCAATAGCCATCATTTTTCATCTTCAAATGTCAAAATATACACCCTTTGGTATGTAGGAAAGAACATTGTGATCCATAGCTTTGACATATGAAACCATCTTGCACAATATAAGGCAGTAGAGATACATTAGAGTAGCAAATTTCACTTTGATGAAGTGGACACAATGACAGTGGAAATTACTTGAGTCAAAAAGAATGAGCAACTGATATCCACGAGTTAGTTGTTTAGCCACTTTTGTACTTTTTGGCAGACAACATAATAGATGCTTCCCTTCCCTATTATATAACTCTATAGACCTGTTAGACTGCATTTATTTATCAAAAGATTAAACATGAAAAAAGGAGAAAAAAAGAATAGTGCAGATGATGAAAAGTTGTATAAAGATGACCTTTGTTTTTATTAACTTATGTGTTCTAGAGCTTTAACTCAGCTAAAGGTGCCTTTAAAGATGGTCACACTCCCATCGTGAAAACATAGTAGCAGTAGATTTGTATAAAGGTTTTAATTGCAACAATGTCCAATTTTTTTGTAATTCAGTCTCTGAGCCAGCCACAATATGAAAGTAAATAAATAAATCCTATGGGATTAATAATATCCCCATATTACAATAATGGGGAACTGTACCTCCCAATGACCTCACCTGCCATGCAGCCTGTCTCCTAAAAGTTAAAACAAGCCATTGCCAAATAATTAGAAAAGGCCCATTCCCATAGTAATTGGGCCTTTGAAATAACATGGGACATTGCCCCCTGTTACTCCCTACCTGTGGGAGTCGGGTGTTGGCTACTTTTAATATTCATGGCGGAGGACCTAGTGTCCATGGGCAACGGGTTCCCTAATAATAATAATAATAAAAAGGTAGGGGGAAGGCAATATCTCAAGACTTGGATGTTGGTTTACAAGCCAACCAATCAGAGTGCTCTTGGTCATATTTCAAAGAGTGGGAAAATTTCCCATGGTTTGCAATAGCTGTCATAAAGTGGGAAAACCTACATAAGGGCTTTCTTCCCTATCAGCGCTTATTCTGTGGCGAGCCCTACATGGGTGATGGTGGATTGTTTTTAATTGCGATGCGTTTTTTTTTTTTTTAGTTATTTGATAGGCTACAAAGGTCCAATTTCTTTATGACACCTGAGCTCAGGATTGCATATAATCTAGTTAGGAGCAAGAAGGGAAAACAGTGGGCATTAGAAACACTTCGTAATGCCATTTGGTTTATGTTATGTTGGACTCCCTACCTCTAATCCTACTTTCTCTCTTTCACTCCTCCCCCTTATCTGTCAACATTAGCGTGCTCGTCAGGCTACCCCTGTCTAGCAGAGGGCAGGGAGTGGTCGGACGACCCGTGGGGCTCACTTTTTTCTTTTTTTGCCCTCTTTCTCCTCTCCTATTTCTTGCTTGCTTATACCCGCCTGGGTACCCTCCGCTTCCCTTCAGGGGCGGGGCGTCTGCAGGCAACTTGCTCCATACGTAGGCGACCTGCCTGGGTGCCTGGCTTACCCTCTCCTTGTGGCGGTAGGGGAATTTTGGCTCAGTCGGTTGGCTGCGTGGGGTTGCGACGGACCATTGTCGATGCTGGTTGCTGCCGGCTCATTCCCTCCCCTACAATAGTATACCCTAGAGCATTATTTGGGGCATCTTTAAGTACCTACAGGGACTCTGGCTCATCGACTGTTGGAGAACGAAACATCCCGCATGCAAGGAAAACACTCATTTCTCGGTGACCCGCTCTAGGTACTCTAGAACTGCAGCAGGAACACCTGTCCCATATTCAATCCACCTGTATTGGCACATCCACCTGGTCTGATCATAGCCCTGTGCAGATGATACTGGATTTGCCCATTTATAGATCCCGAATGAGGAACTGGCGATTGCAAGACTCACTGCTGCTGGACCCGGAGGTTCGAGATCACGTCTCGCAAGCTCTGACTTCCTACTTTGAGGACAATTTCCCTCGGGAGCAATCTGATGTCACCATTTGGGAGGCACACATGTGCGTCATAAGAGGAACACAGATGCAGATCACGGCCCGAAAAAAGATGGAAGCCAGAAGACATACTAAGGAACTTGTAGATACGATTTTTCACCTTGAATCCCAACACAAACAAACTCAGGTTGCCTTGGTCTACAAGGAACTACTCGAGGCCCGAGCGAAGCTGCTAGAGATACTAGCGAGCCAACATTATCAAACGGCGCAGTGGTCGAGAGGCTTCTTCTATCTACATGCCAACAAAGGCGGCAAACTGCTGGCGTAAATGGTTATGGGGTGACAAACACACGCACAAGGTTTCAGGGTTAAAACTGCCTGAGGTCAGGCTACTCAAATCCCCAAGGAAATCGCGGTGGAGTTTCGCACCTTCTATCCTGCCTCTATAATATCACCCGACCGGTAGGGAACAACTCGGATTGGTGGTCGGGAACGGAAGAAGACAGGATTCCTGCCGAGCTTTGTCTCTTCAGCACTCCACACAGCCTATGTTGCGATGCTCGAATCCCCGATAACAGAAGACGAACTCCAAAGGGCTATCAAGGCCTCCAAGATGGGCCGCGTTCTGGGACCAGATGGCTTGACACTGGATTACTACAATAAAATCGGTGCTACCCTGATCCCAAAACTCTTCAAGGCTCTGAATAAATTACCCTCTGTCGGCCGGTTTCACAGGAAGTCCCTCTCGGCTACCATTACCATCTTGTCCATACTAAGGAAGGACCCTGAATCCTGCGGAAGTTATAGGCCGATTTCGCTACTCAATGTCGACGTCAAACTCCTAGCAAAGGTTCTTGCGGTTCGGCTGGGCTCGAGGCTCCCTGACCTAGTCCACCTGGATCATCCCAGGCATGAAGGCGCGAGACAGCACGCTGCGAGTGCTTTCCATCCAACACATCGCACGCAGAACCAAGGTGCCCTTGCTTCTCCTCTCCACAGATGTGGAGAAAGCGTCTGACCGGGTGGACTGGCACTTCCTCATGCATGCCCTACGAAGCTACGGTTTGGGGCCAAGTGGAAGGACTGTATATGTGCCTTGTACGACTCACCGAACGCACAGGTACGGGTCAATGGAGCCTTGACGGACAGCTTCGCGATACGTAATGGCTTAGGGTTGCCTATTCTCACTACTCCTATACGCATTATCTCTGGAACCGCCACTGGATACAGTGAGGCGCAGCAGAAATATTGAGGGCTTCCATAGGCGCAAGACTCAAAAAGTTGCGGCATATACTGACGACCTGATGTTTTTCGTCATCAACCTGAGCTCAACCGTGCCGAACTTACTTAAACTGATAGAGACATATGGATCACTGGCAGGACTCAAGCTTAATCTCTCCAAATGTGAGGTGCTTGGCATCTCCCAGTCCACCACACATGCAATACCTAGGAATATGGATAACGGACGACCTCCTGGACCTCTACCAGAAGAATTTTCTACCCCTGCTACACAAATTACAACAAGATCTCACGAAAGTGGCGTTACCCGCACATTTCTTTGCTCGGCCGCATGGCGGTTGCCAAAATTAACATTCTACAGCGGCTCCTGTACCTATTTTAGACAGATCCCTTCGAGATCAAAAATGCACTATTACATGCTACCTTATCCCCGCTGACCACATACAAAAAAAATCTAATTAGCATCACCTACTCAATGCAGCCAAATCCATGATATCTGCACTCTGGAAACAAGACAAGATCCCAACATTAGAACAGTGGTTGGATAGAGTAATGGAAATCCAGTCAGTAGAGGCAATGCAGGCATCCCTGACGGGGCTCGACACGAAACACACGGACCATTGGCAGCCCTGGTTTGCATATACGGCGCGGACGGATGCTGCGCTCACCAGGGGCAATGGGGCAATGGGGCTGGGTGGCAGGGGCCTGAATAGGGGGTGGGCTTTGTGTTTAGCCGGGGCAATCTTAACCCCACCCTTTCCTATGCCTACCTCTCCGCTATCCTCCAACTACCATTTGCTCTCTTCCTCTTGTTTTCTTTCCCTTACATGCCCCACAGGCACTCTTTGGGGCCGTGCCTGCCCACTATAAGGAGAGTCCAAGAAGCATTATGCCATCACTGAGATAGGCGACATACCAGCCAAATCCGAGAGTCGCACACCCATAGCGCACCAAGAACGTTAGGGGTGCAGGGTAGCCACACACACATGAACCCATGCCATTTCTAAGGTACCACCAGTACCTCTTATGCCAGACCACTGCCATGACCCTCCCCCCAAAAAAAATTATCCAGACTCTAGGAACCTCACAAGTCTACATGGCTAAGAGTACAGGGACACCAGATATAGGCGACCCATCCTCTATCTAATCAGATCCGCTAGACTGAACATGAAACAAACACAAGGTGGTTTCCGAACGGGCAACACATGTGGATGGCCCCCTGGGGGGTTTGTCACCCTTCCATATGGATCATAGCTTGCTGATTAAAATATATACATATACTTTAGCTACTTTCTGTTATCCTCCACGAGACTACAATTTGAATCTCATTTATCTCAATGCCTTATTGATTGATTGCATCGAGGCCTACAAGTCTCACTCATACCTTGAATCTTTCTTTGCTTACTGGAACTGTTTACTCTGTGTTAATAAAGCTTTTTTGAAACTAGAATTAGATATTTCTCAGTGCCCTGTTGTGGATTCCCTTAGTGTTATCTGAATTTTGGCTCAGAGGTTAGACAGCAGGATTAGGATAGCAAAGAACCCAGGTTCAAATCCCATAGAGCAGTGATGGCGAACCTGTGGCTGCGCCATACACACAGCACCCCTTGCCCTACACATATCACCCCACAAAAAGACACACACACACATCACCCCACCCACACACCACCCCCCCACACACAAACACACCACCCCACACACATCACCCCACCCACACACATCACCCCCCACACACACACATCACTCCACACACAAACACATACACTGTACCCCTCAATGCAGTGTGTGTACACTCAGCAGTCTGTCTGTGTGTGTACACTCAGCAGTCTGTCTGTGTGTGTACACTCAGCAGTCTGTCTGTCTGTGTACACTCAGCAGTCTGTCTGTGTGTGTGTGTGTACACTCGGCAGTCTGTGTGTGTGTGTATTTAGCAGTCTGTGTACTCAGCAGTCTGCTAAATACAGACAGACTGCTAAGTACACAGACAGACTGCTAAATACACATACAGACTGCCGAGCACACACACAAACTGCTTAATAGACACACAGAGATGTTAATTAGTTCGGACAACTGTATGAGTTGTTTTTTCTAAACTTAAACCTCAGTATTCAGGTTTAAATGCCGTTTTGGTACTTTGAGGGAAAAAAATTGGCATGTATTACGGTTTGGGCACTCGGGCTCAAAAAGGTTCGCCGTCACTGCCATAGAGGTTAACGCAGTAAAGGAGTTTGAGCATGCATGGGATATGCATAAGGCTATCCTAACTGTAAGATAAGGCCAGGGACTAATGAAAGTATTTAAAAAATTGGGCAGACTAGATGGGCCGAATGGTTCTTATCTGCCGTCACATTCTATGTTTCTATTACTGTTTCTTGATATATTTGACCTTGGCTTGTGTATTGACTATTCTCCATTCTATATACCTGAATTTTGGTATGTCTTCGATTTTCATACTCTCTCTCCCTGAACTCTGTCTGTCTAATACTAATCTTAGAACGTTGAGTCCGGCCATTTTAAGGTCCAGTAGTACGTTATAGTATTATTTAAAAAAAAATGTTTTATATTGTTCACTTAAATACTGCGTGTTGGGTGTAGTAAATCCTGACATTCTTCATGTATATCCTACAAGTATATAAGTCATATAAACCCTTTAAAATGTGAACACCCATGAACTAGCCTGATCGGTCCTGCAGGTGGTCGTTTTAATGTGATTATTGTCAGTGGATTGTTAATGTCTGTTGGAATTATTTCAGGAAGGGTTCTATTAATTTTCCCTTTAGAGTGCTTGCCAGTTAAGGGGAGGAACCAAGCTGCTCAGACGTAACCTATACTTTTGTGGCTAAGCATTAGCACTTGTTTGTCCCTTGTTATTAAACATCTTTATTCCCTCATCAGGAAAAGAGAACATCCCAATGGGAAAATGGGAAAACATCACTGAAATGTTTTAGAATTAGAAGGATATTTATTTTGTTAGAGTTGAGAAATATGTTATGTTTTTTTTTTGTTTTTTTTTACAAAATGGTGGATGTAATGTGATCCCACAAAATTGCAGATGTAATGTGATCCCACAAAATGGTGGATGTAATGTGATCCCACAAAATGGCGGATATAATGTGATCCCACAACATGGTGGAAATAAAGTAAATTGTGTTTAAAATGTTGTAATTTATGTTTTTCTTTTATATATGTTTAATAATGTATTAAAGACATAGCTATAACCTATACTTGTGTGGCTAAGCTTTAGCAGTTGTTTGTTCCTTGTTATTAAACATCTTTATTCCCTCATCAGGTGATGAGGACACAGGAAGCTGGGCACCCACCATTGCTTGCAGAGGCAGGAATGCAATAACCTTCCATTTCTCCCTGGCCTTCATTATAACTTTCATGAAGTCTGTGAATTTCATGTTCGTTTCTCCTTAATTCTCTACAACCCATGTATTTATGACATATACAGTGTTCACACATCCAGCAATAAGATTTGCCTGAGTACGTTGCATTTATCTTTTGTGTAATAATTTACAGCTTCCTCGAGGATGCAAACTTACTTGCCCTTATTTCCTTTGGATTATGGCTAACTCCTTTAGTCACAAATTACTCATATTTCCTTAACCCCCAACAGTAGAAAAAACGCTGGCATAGTATAGATATAAATAATCAGGTAGTGTAGGCATGTTGTTAGGTTCAAAATTGCTGCAGCCAAAATTAGCATTCTGAAATGAGAATGTTGTGATTTTCATGACTAAAGTATGATCATGTCAATTTTACTGGTTTTGCATTTAAAGCACAAGGTGTCAGGATTACCAATTAACCTGCTCCCAAGAGAAAATGAGATGTAAATCCAGCTCTGCCTACTTGAGTGTAATATATATTTTTCTAATAAAAAGGATAGTTTACTTGAGATGTCTGTAACTATATTTGGCGATCCAGAGATATTATCCTTGCCGGCATGAAGCCACTTTATTTCCCACTGTCTCAAGTAACAAAATGATACCATATCCTCTATGCAGCTGGTGGTTAAAGTAGATTTCCATTCAAATAGACCAGACAGAGCACCTTTCAGCATTGCTGTATAATACAGAGCATAATATTGATACCCCAAGGCAGCTGAATCTTATTATTTCAGTCACCTGGCACACAGTGTGCATACATACTTAGGTCTACATTATGTTAGCAAAGCCTAACCTTTGGCACTCTAAAAGGCTTCTTCACTGAAGTGTAAATTAAAGAGGGTATTTCAAATTTGAGGCCAAAATAACTGAGCTGTAAAATCGTATTCATGATTTTAAATATGCATTTCCTTACCAAATCCCAGTTTAAACAAAAGGGAATTGGGGGCTCACCTGGAACATGCGAGTTGCAGGAATGGTGCTGCTGGAGTGACCAAAATGTATACATAATACAGACCAAGGAAGAGTGCACTCATACAAATAAATTTCTAAATTCTATAAGGCTACTTAAAGTCACCTACCGCAGCAAACAAATATGGGGATTCAATATGGCCATATTGTTTTAAGCCCGTCATTACTTCACAGTACCCCAATATCAGTGGGTTCTACACTAATTCCAATGTGGGAGACAAATTAAATAGAGCTAGTGCTAAATAAACAAAAGTGTATTTTAATAATCTGTTGTAAGATCATTGTGAATATATATGATGAAAAATTAACATTAAAACACAATTAAAAAAATACTGTGTCGAAACTAAACAATTAAAGTGATAGTGCTTTGATGTATATACTCACAATGCAAATTATATATCTGCTCTATGAAAAGTATAATTAAATTATATTTACTATCCAAAACCTCCTCAAATATACATCTGCGATCACCTCCAAAGGGGCCTCAGAAGCTGGGAGGCTGGGTGGGGTGCTCAACCCAAAAAGGAATCTGGTCTGGATTCCAAACGTACATAGTAAAAAAAAAAAGGGAATTGGAGGCACACGCGGAACATGGATCTTGCAGGAATCCAGAGCAGATTAATTTCGGGTTGAGCAACCTGCACAACCCCCCTGCTTAAGAGGCCTCTTTGAAGGTGACATCAGATGTATATTTAAGGAGGTTTTGGATTGTTTCTCCGCTAACCTCCCTCAGTTTCTCGCAGTACACAGAGTGAATATAGCAGCTCACCAAAAACATCAGCCTAGACTTATTGAAGCATGAAACAGAGTATACTTTATTCCTCACCAATTACATATCTTTATACAGCTTAAATGTGTACTCTTTCTCCAGGGCGTGATCCACATAACAAAATACAGATTACCTCCCTGAAGCCACTCTGAGCTGATAAAAGTTAGATCGGGAACAAATTAACTCTCCCACCTGCTGTGTCCTCTCCAAACAGGACATGCTAAGACACCATAACCCCAATACCACCTTCCCCAACTCAGAACCCCCAGAATCCACACATCCATTGATAGCTCACCCCCTCAGCAGCCTA